AGTCTCTTTAATCTCTCAAACGTTGCTTGGCACTCCATTGTCCATGTTAGTGGCTGGCTAGGTTTTACTGAGGATGCTCCCTTCGTTTTTAGTAAGTTCGTGAGGGGCAGGGCTATCTGGGCAAATAAGGGGATGAATTGGCGGTAAAAGTTTGCGAAACCCAGGAAACTTTGCAGTTGCTTTCTTGTGCGGGGTGGTGCCCATTCTAATACTGCTCTGACCTTCCTCTGGGTCCATTTCAATGCCCTGTGGGGATATGCGATAACCTAGGTAGTCTATCCTTTCCTGGTGGAATTCGCATTTCGAGAGTTTGGCATATAGGTGGGCGGCTCGCAGTTTCTTTAAAACCGCTCTGACTAGGTTGACATGTTCCTCTTTTGATTCGGTGAAGAATGTCGTCTAAGTAAACCAGGACCCCCTTAAATAGGTGCTCCCTTAGAACGTCATTAGTTGCATAAATACTGCGGGGGGCCCTTGTAATCCAAATGGCAAGACTTTGAATTGGTAGCACCCCATGGGGCAGTTAAATGCGGACTTCCATTCATCCCCTTCCTTAATTCTCATGCGATAGTAAGCTTCCCTTAGGTCTAGTTTAGAAAAAATTTTCCCTTTCGAGAGGTGTGGCAACATGTCTTTCATGAGGGGTAGAGGGTATAGGTTGCTTTCACTGATTGTATTCAGGGCCCTATAATCCATGCATAAGCGTAAAGAGCCGTCCTTCTTCTCTCTAAAGAGGACCGGGGCAGCCACTTTAGGCTTGGCTGGCTCAATGAATCCCCTTTCTAGGTTTTTCTTTATGAATCTTTCCATTTCCTCCTTTTCCTTTGGGCTCATGGAGTATAATCTGGGCTTTGGGAGTTTTGCCCCAGGCTTGAATTCAATGGCACAGTCCGTGGGTCGGTGGGGGGGGGAGCTCATCCGCCCTCTCCTCACTGAAAACTTCAGCAAGGTCTCTGTATTCCTCTGGTATTTCTGGTAGTCCCTTTTCCTCTCCCATGGATGCTTCTTCTGTTCTTGATTCTGGCAGCCCCCCTTGGGATTTTAAGTCCATAGGGTCCCCCTTCGGGAATTTGATTTCTGCCGTCCTCCAATTCACCCAGGGGTTCCATTTTTTTAACCATTCCATCCCTAGGATCATCGGGCATTCCATGCGTGGGGTCACTTCAAACGTTATGTCTTCCTCATGTTTGCCCAGGGAGAGTTGTATTGGTAAAGTGGCTAGGGTAGCTGGCACCCCCCTTGCTGTGGACCCATCTAACTGGCCAAATGAGATTGGTTGTTCCAGTCTCCTTGATGGAATGCCCAGGTTCCCCACTAGCGTCGGGCTAATGAGGCAGCGGGTGCAGCCAGAGTCTATTAAGGCTTTCACCTTCACGGCTTCGGGCATGGGGGAATTAATATAGTCACTATCTTGAGGATGGGTGCGATGCGTCCACTTACCAGGGGTTCGTCCTCCGAGCTGTCGTCTGAGGCGTCCACCGGCCCTGCGGTGTAGGCTGGAGTTCTTTCCCCCTGATGAGCAGAAGTGGGGGATTCCACAGCGTCCATCATTCTCATGGCAGGTTCTTTTGGCTTAGCTGGGGACTTTCCAGATTTGCTGGCCGGTGATCTGTCTGGGTTGTGCTGGGGGGCTTTTGAGCAGCATTCTACAGCCCGATGCCCTTCTCTCCCGCACTTGAAACACCCCATTTGCTTCTTGGCCATAGCTGATGGTTTCCCTGGTTCACGTGTCAACTCAGGCGGTGAGCGGCTCCATTGTTTTCCTCGGCGGTGCCTCTTCAGTATGTCGATTTCTGCTTCTTCTGCCAAGACATACCATTCCTCAAGTTGGTGTGGGTCCCCTCGGGGCAGGCAAGCATCATATAGGTCATAATTTAGTCCGTCTTTGAAATGGCTAAGGAGGATATCTTCCGGCCAGTTCAGTTTGCTGGCAATGGCCCGGAATTCTTGCGTATATTCGGCTACCGGGCGTTTGCCTTGTCTCATCATTTTTATCCTTTCGTGGGCTTTGCGATCAGCCAGGGGGTCCTCAAATCGCCTTCTCAGAGAGGACATGAAATGGTTGAAGTCGTTGAGCTCTGGGTCGTTGGAGTTGTGCAAGTTCACCACCCAATCTGCGGCCGGCCCGTCCAGGGCAGATTGCACGATCTGGATATGGGCTTTGTTGCTGGGGATGTGCCGCCCATATTCCTCCATGTGGCTGAGGACTTGGGTTAGGAAAAACCCCAAGCGTGTTGGCTCCCCCTTGAATCTCACATCCAGCAGCGGGAGTCTTTGAATGGATCGGTGACTTCGTTGTCGGTGGTAGTGTCTTCCATCCAGATCGCTGTCTGTGGGTCAGCGGGGAGTGGGGACTCCTGGATCAGCAGACGTCCCCGGGGCTGCAGGTTCCACTTCCCCCTCGGTGTCTCTTCCGTTGCGGCTCCAGGAGCTGGGGCGGCCGTAGGGCTCAGAATTCTCCTCTCCTAGGGAGCTGAGGGTTCTCTTCATCAGGTCGATAGCTTTCTCTAGGATCCAGCCCGAGTACGGTGCCCAACTCCCTTCCTCCTCACTTGCGTGTAGGGATTTCTCCATCTCTTGCTTCCATTCTGGTTGGTTGCTCCCCCATCTCAGGGTCACCTTTCTTGATTTCTTTTCCCACTCGCCTTTCTTTCCAACGCCCATTGACCACCGAGGTTTGTGATCCCGTGTCTCCACCACCTCTTCTCCTGAGGAATCTGACCTCTCAGATCCTGACATCTGGCAGGTTTTCAGTCGGCGCAGCGGCTCCCTTCCCGGGGAGTTTTCTCCCTTCCCTGCTCCATCGTCTGACATGGTAATTTTTGCAAAGTCCCCCGGCAAGGTTCTCCCTTCCAGGTGGACTAATTCTGCAGGTCCTGTCTAATGTAAGGACCCACCCCACTTTGCACCTTAAGAAGACAGAACTCTTGGAATATTTCTTCCAACAGGCATCTTTATTAAAGGAAAATGGCTGCAGGCGTTCTAGACAGGATTTGGGGCCAAAGCCTTATGGTTCAAGGTTTTAAGGGATCCCCAACAGCCCCACCCCACCCCACTGTCCTTCCAGCGGCAATCCCAGGTGTTACATTTCCATCCCCTTTTTCCTCACTGCCAGTGGAAAGGAAACTTCAGAGGGGAGTAGATGAAAGCTGGTAGCCCCATTGTTATTGATGAGTCCTTTTGGTGGTATCCACATTCAGTCCCTTTGAAGTTGTGCTGAAGAAAGTGAGGGCCATAAAACCCCTTTGTTCACCCCCCTTCCCTTTCATCGTATGACAGAATCCAGAGAGGGCAGAAATGGGGTTTTCCATAGTTGATAACTAGAGATGAAATATAATTGGATTCTGACACATGCTTAAGGCAGGACTAGAACTCAGGGTTTCTAGCCTGATGCTTTAACCACTATACCTAACTGGGTCTCTCATCATACATTTAGGGGGGAAAAACCTTAGTATTGTGGAGAGGCCAAACATCTACTATTAAGCAAAGGGAAAAGTGATAGTAGGGAATTACAGATGCATGAAAGTATATGTCCTAGAAATCTACAAATGCTAGCTGCTTCCCATTCTGTAAGGAGAGAAAGATGGAAGCAAATCCTGTAACAAAAGTTTTTCAAAAACAAGTTCAGATGGCAACGTTTATCATAGATCCTTCTTAAGAATGATAAAATAGTTACAAAAGAAAACAGGAATGCAGTTCCATGTCAATAGTTTATTTCTATGGGGAAAAAAACATGTCATGTACTTTCTGGAGGGATCCGAGAAGCAACAGGGTGGCTTAGTGTAGCATTTGTCCAGAATTCAATATGATAACACATTTGTTAAATTATGGAATTTCACATAATTTGAAACCACAATATATCTTGAGTGCAGATGAGTACCATGAAAAACTGGATCAACCACTGATTCCAATGGCATCAAACATACATCCTAGTATAATAAGACAGATGGATCTTATTGAAATAGCAAAAAAGTACACATTAGGAACAGAATGAGCAAGTATGACCAATTATGATTTCGGAAATCTTGAGATAGGATGAGCCCTTAGTTTTAACTACTTTGCTGTACAAAAGTGTAGTCCAGAGGAATAAAAATTAAGGGGAAACTGTCTTGAATATCTCCTTCTGAGATTGACTCCTGTGCTTGAAGAGGAACCAGTGAGGACTGGGAAATATGAACTGGAAAGTCTATCAATAGTGGAACTGGCAGTAGCAGGATTGGGAAAGATTATGTAGAGAAAGCTCATGCTGCTGGAATAGGAATCAGAGATGCACTAAACTTTCATCTCTCTTTTTCTTTTGACCTTTTGTGAAAATTGTTTAGAGCTCTTAGAAGCCTTTGAATCCTTAGTGGATGATTTCCTCAGTACAAAAAATAATATAGCAAAGACTTGGGAGAGAGAATTTGAGTAATCTGTTGAAGACATGAGGGAACTGCTATGGTAGGAGATAGAGGCAAAGGCAAGAATGCTACAATCATTTCAGAATCTGTTGCCTTAAAATTTTCTGCTGGAAAATAGCTTGTAAAATACAATGGTTGAAACATTGTTGGTATATAAGAATGTGGGGGCAGCTGCTAAGAATGCATATTACCAGTTTCTTTCCCTTACCTCACATGTGGGTGAGAACTCTCATCATTCCTTCCCAAAAAGAATGCACTGAATGGCGAAATCTTATTGGAAGAGATTGTAAGAATTCATAATAAAAACATTAACACTGGGATGATTAAAAAATAGGGGCTCATTGGAAGCCATGCTAGTTGGATTGAGGCCAGGGATCCTTCCAAATAATCCTATAGGTTTTAGAAAGTTTCAGGTGGATCTCAGTATGTGGGCCTGATCTATGTATTAAATCAAAGAAACCACAAAAGACAATTGGCCAAAAGACAAATGTTTGAAAGAAATATCTAAAAGTGTTCTAGAATACACACACACACAAACAAACAAACATATACAGTATGTTCTAGAAACACTATATGTATATCAGAGGTTGCCATACTCACCATGTCAGTATCTGAAACTGGTCCAAAACTGGTCACATAGATGTTTGTAAAAACCTCAGTTGTACTATCTGGAATAAACAATGAAAAGAAGATAAAATTATGACACTATCTGTTTTCTCCTTTGGTGGCTACTGATTTATATACGTATTTGGCCCAGGGGACCACCCCGAAGACAGCAAGGGACTGTCCTCTGCCGCCCAACCCCGCCCAGCCCAGCAGCCCCCCAGGCAATGCACAGGAGGCGGTGAGTGTGTGGGGACCAATGGTATCCGGCAGTAGAGCCTCTGCAGCCCGCTGCAACCACCAGGCTGGTCCTCCAAGCAGCAGGTGTTGCAGTGGCACTGGCAGCAAGAGGAGTCGGGGAGGGAGGCACATGATGCAGACTGGCAGATGCGCCTACTCTGTCCCGTCTGTTTTTGCTTGCGGTTGGAGAGCAGGTCACTGCTGGTCATCTCCTCGGTCCCCTCGTGGGTCTTGGCCTTGGTCCACACATGGAACATGTTCCTCGGCCCTGCCGCAGGCCGCTGCCACCACCAAGGCCACTAGCAACTCACTGCAGGTCCATTTTCCAAGCAGGGAAAGCCTAGGCCCAGCCAGGATCATGTGCATTCCCCCCACAACACGACTGGGCCTGGGCGGCCATGGCACCAATGGGGATCTGGCTTTCCCTACTCAGGGTGGCTGTCTTTTGCCTGCTGGGCTGGGTGTGCTCTACCACCTCCACTCGGGCTTCCTAGCCAGCCATTTTGCCTCCTTCATGCTGGGTGCCCCTGCAGCTCCAGGCAGTGGCAGCCTAATAGACCTGCGCAAGCTGCGCGTTTCACACGCAGGCCAAGGGCAAAATTATGAGGGGAAAGACTGGCTGCACTCCTGTGGCCAGCCTCCAGCTACTGACAACCAAAGAAAGAAGCACTAATTAGCAGATCATAAACAGCATGTTTGGAATTGGGTAAGAATATTGATCCTTTCTTTACTATTTTACAACTGGATTTCCTGGAAAAGGCTCCCAAGAAGCTAAAAACCTCCAAACACGAGAAGGAAGGGGATGCAGCCCCACCCTTCCAGAGGAACGAAAGTGGCATTTTAATTTTTTTGTGGGGGACAGAAACATTTAACATTCAAGTGGAAGTAATATAAAGCTATAGTTTTGACAATTTTGAGAACTGAGAACATTGTTAAGATTTTCTCTTTGAAAAAATATTGGGGTGAAATATAAGAAATCAACCTTCTATTTTAAGAGTTGGAAAATGGGTATTGAATGACATCTACTGGTGGACTAGAGTAAAGCACCACAGCTGCAATGACTGATACAGACCTGGCAAGAAGCCTAGAAACAGATAACAACCTACTTTTTTGTTGTTTGGTGACTTTTAACTCAACAGAACAGCTGGCAACAGAGAAAAATACTTTGGCATACTTATTACAGTGTGAGAACCTAACTTTTTTGAAACCTGTTGACCTTCTTAGATTATAAACATATAGTGAGCTTTGACTTTTAATCTTAAGAACTATTTGGAGAGAAAAGAAAATTTGACTTCTGGCTACGTTTGTCTGAGGGAGGTTTTTGGATTGCTCTTAGGGTGGTTGAACATTCTGAACACTTTGAACATTTGGACTGTAAATTTCAGCTGACTGACAATTTTTGGATTCCTGACCAGAAGGACTACTACAAAATATTGCTTTCAGTAGTGGAGTTATATCCTGGAAATTATTGGATTATAAAGGCTGTATATAAAGACCAGAAGAACCAGATGAGACTTTGTTTTATGGACATTAGGATTGGTGGTATAAGACAAGATTAGTATGTGGGGATCACAATAGTTCTGATAGAATATCTGGAGAAATAAAATGGATCCTTTATAACTAGCCAAAAATGGTAGGAAAACATACTTAATACTCCCATCTGAAGCCCCCAACCAGATTTACTAGGGATTTGCAGGAGTGATGCCTCAAGAAGAAGTAATCATTTTTCAGAAGGAAATACATTTTATGTTACAATTAATTCAGGAGACAATTATTTCACATAAAGAAGATGCAAGAAGAAATCATGATGAGATTAAAAACAACTTTGATAATATAAATGAGAAAATCTCTAATTTAAACTCCCAACTAGAAAGTTCCCAGACAACAACTACAAAGAATGAATAAACAAGTCAGAAAACAGAAGATGAACCAGAGGAAATTGATCTAAAGACACAAGATACAAAAGCTAGCTTCAGTACAACCCCTGCAAATGGGACACAGACTGTTGCCCAGGCTGGGGACAGAGTTCCATCAACAAGGGCCCGACCGAAGGTCCATGCGGAGAAGTCTGACAGGCCAGTGTCTCGGGAGGAAGTTCTAGCCATCGGAGATCTCTACTGAGCAGAGGAAGACTCCAGGCACAGGAGTACCCCTAAAGCTGTCGAGGCTGAGTTCTCTTTGGTCTCTTTCCACAGGCCTTTATCTATCACACTGAAATGGAGAGTAAAAAGAGCAGCAGAATGAGATGAGTTGAGGGAATGGAAGTATCTGACATGTCAGACTCTCATTGTATTTCTTTCCTATGCCTTTCATTTTCAGGTTCTGCCATTCTATAGGGGGGAGGCTTGTGGTTAGAAGGGGGGAGTGACCTATGTGTCTTCTACAATGTATTTCCTCTGCTTTGATCTATCCTCTTTGAAGTATCTTACTTGGGGTGTGAAAGGAATGTGCCTCCGGCCATCTGCCTTATCTCCAGTCAGATGGGAAGAAGCCGCAGAGAAACCTGACAGCCTTGGAATGGCACCTTATCGCTGATTTCCCACAACAACTTAACACCTATGGATTGGTTCAATTCAAACCGGCTGGTCAGACATTGGGGGGGGGGTGGGTTTGAAAGGCTTCTTTTAATGTAAAGTTTTGTGTGGGAAATCCTCAGATCCTGCCTTATTCTCCTGCTATCAATAACTTCCAATAAAAGTTTCAAGAGTTCTGCTTTCTTGGGAGAATTAATTGAGGCGGGTCCTTACATTAGGCAGGATCTGCAAAGTGGTCAACCTGGAGGGAAGATAACCCCTACTGTGGGGACCATGCACATTATGTCTAACCACAGCAGTGAGAAGGAAGAGGACCCTCCAAAGGCTTGCCCTAGTGACAGCTCCTCTAGATCCTCTGTCTCAGGAGATGAGGCTGCGACTGGGGAGACCCTCTTGAAACCGAGGTGGTCGATTGGCATTGGAAAGGAGGAGGACCGGGAAGGGAGGTCCTGGAAAGTAACCATCGACCGCAGCAGCTGAAAGCCAGACTTGAGACATGAAATGGAGCGTTCGCTTAACCTCAGCGAGGAAGAGGACAAAGTGCTGACCTGAGCCAATTGCTTCCTAAACGAAACCATAAACCTGATGGTGGATGCCTTCAAAAACCTCAAAGAGGAAGAGACAGACATCCGCCAAGACAAGGTCAAAGAGAGACTGGAGGAGGAGGCTGGAAGGGGGGAGAGCGAAACCTCCAACTCAGGGACCTCTGCCAACACTGGAGATGCCACAGGGAGCTGCGACAGCAGTGACGACCCCATCTTGAGCCACATCAGCTGGTGGTGATGAGTGCAGAGCCCAAAGAAAGGGTACTCATCGTCCCAATCTTAAGATTCCTTCCCCTTGGCGTGAAGTACAATGGTGACACACAGCAACTAGGGTTCTTCCGGGCCCATGTCCTGACCTACATGCAGGAGTATGGCCGAGAGCTCCCTAGTGAGGGCACCTGGGTCAGGGTCATTACCCTGGCTCTGGAAGGCATGGCAGCTTGTTGGATGGTGACCCTGCACAATGCCGAAGCACCCGAACTTCGAAACTTTAACCAATTCATGGCAGCACTGAGACGGCAGTTCGAAGATCCCTTGGCCAACCGGAAAGCCCGGAATCGCATTAAGACAGCCAGGCAAGGCTGATGCCCCATGGCCGAATACACCGAAGAGTTCCGAGACCTGTTGTGGCTCCGTCTTTTGAGCCCCTCTTATCGGAGGAAGAAGGCTCCGAACATGAAGGAGAGGAGATGGCCAGGCCTCCCTCTCCAGGACCCTCCTCTTTGGCAATGCCTCAGGTGTCTCCCGACGGAGAAGAGATTGACCAGGAGACAGGTGGTTCTGAGATTGGCCAGGAGCCAGGTGTTTCTGAGATTGGCCAGGAGCCAGGTGTGTCGGATAATGAGGAAGAGAAGTTGTGGCTGGATCCACACCAGCGTAGGAGCGACAAGCGTGCGCAGCAGAAAAAGAAACGTGCCAGAGATTAAGCTGAGTCACTGGATCACACCCCACAGGCTATAAAAGGGTGGTGGTGGCCATTTGGACCTCTGTGACGGACAAAAGCTGAATCTCTGGCAAAGTAGTTTGATGTGGCTTTAAACTGTGTGTATTGTTTTTGTTTCTGTGTGCTTGGAGTAAAAGGTCTTGGCAGGCAGCTACGGAGCTGCTGCCAAGTTTCTTATCTGTGAAGTGGTGTCTGGAGAAGTCTTTAACCCTCGGCTGGCTGTTTGGGTGTGTGGGTCGGACAGGGGACAGAACAAGACCTGGCTTGCCATCTGAACTGGCCAGAGGACATCTTAGTGAGCTGTTTTAAAGATGGGTTGAATGATGACCTCTACCATGCTTGCACTGCCCGAGGAGCCCCTGTGCACCTCCACAACTGGTACATCCTAGTTGAGGAAGCAGAGATCCACCAAGCCCGGAATCAACACTGCTTTAGTCAGGCATGGAGACATTCTCCACTGTAGAAGAAACGAGAGGCGACAAAAACCCCTGCAGCAACTCCGTGCTCAACTGCTTGTTTTAAATGTGACAAAGGGGGCCATTGAGCTGCAGTGTTGTTTAAAAACTCTGGTGAGAAAAGGAGACCGACCTGGGGGGCAACTGTCAAAACCCCCCAGCACCCCAGGGAAATGGCGATGAAAAGCACTGAGGTCATGGAGTTCCGATCCACCAAGAAATTAGGAGAAGGAACTTCGACCCCACCGGAGAAGGGTCCAGAGATGTTCAACAGTGACTACGATGATGAATCCTTGGTGAGTGAACTCATCACGCCAATTATCATGCCCATAGAACTGCTAATCCCAG